CGGAACATATCAATCTCTGGTGCCCACATCTTCACATTGCGTTTGCAGCTTTGCACAACGGTAATGAACTGGACTGCCTGGGCAGTAGAAGAAGCGTCTGAGCTCTGAGTCTCGAGATGTTTACGAGCCTTCTCAATCTCAGCATTCACCTCGCGCATGCGGTTTCCGAGGCGTGTCGCGAATTTCATCAAGATGTCTCGCTGCCATTGATCGTACTTGTCGTTAACCTTGGTCTGGACCTGGTAGTAGTCAATTGTGATGTGTCCAAACGATCGGCTAACATCTTGCGTGTCAAAGGTAGTGCGGGTCTTGCGGATATCCTGCAAGAGCTCCAACCAACGCGACAACTGCTCTCCCAGAGCATCATACACTTGCTCAGACTGAAGGTCCCACAACGACTGGAACTGAAGCCACTCGTCGACATATCCGCTGATCTCTGACAGCTTCTTCTCGAGGGAAATGTACACTCGTTGAAGGATACCCGTGCATTCACTGGGTAGGTCTGTGAAGCGAGTCTCCTCGATGACGGCGGTGTTAAGGCTGAGTTGGTACCGAGTGGCCTTGATCTTTCGCAGATTACAGACAATGCCAAGCCAGTCGTGGAGGTGTTGGAACCAGCTAGCCCGGGCAAACTCCAGAGGGGGGTCCAAATAGATGACTTGGTTGCGCATTGCCAACTCAAGGGTCAGAGACTTCATGGAAGGGCCTTCTTGCTTCTTGCCTTCAACGGGGACAGTGTCATCTTCAAAGGCTGAAATCCAAGCCTGAATAGCAGTTTGAAGGCGCGTGAGAAGCACAGATTGGATCTTGGCATTGAGCCCCTCGACCCAGAAGTCCAGGTTGACATATCGCTCCAGGTTCAGCTGATCAACAGCAGACTGGATAGTACTCAAATGAGCCTGTAAAGCCGCGGTATCGTAGTCACATGTCCCGAGATCTTTGAGCGCCTGCTCAACCGTGACGTAGGTGTGGCTGAGGGACACAGCCTTGCTCTGCAGGGTCGAAACGGCAGAAGCGAAACCCCGGATGAACATACCGTGCTTGCTCTCAGTGTTCTTTGTCAAGCCGAGATCCGTACCTCCAGCGAGAAGTGGTCTTGTTTGTCGCTGATCAGCGTAGAACAGCTCATGCGAGTTGATAAATGACTCCCATCGCAGAGGTACACCCTCCGCAATCAGCTTATATACATCATTTCGGTATCCATGGAGCAAAACGGCCTCTTCTCCCATAGTAGATATTTGTCGCAGAGTTTGCGAGAGTGTCCTGACACTCTCCATTAGACTAACAGCATAGGGATACACACGCTTAGCATCCTTTGATACGGTGGCAATGATATGGGGAACAGTGTATGACTGCCAGGTGAGGTTTCGAGTCTCCTTGAACAGAGTGATAATCTGAGGATCGAAGTTGACTGTGAGCTCCAGAATGCCGCCTGCTGATCGAATACGGGCAATGTCAAATAGCAAGCCTGAAATGGAAATCTTCCTCCTGGTCACGTCCGCAGCCCAGGCTTCGAAAATCTTTCGTGTTTCGAGCTTTTCCTTGAATTGGTCACTTTCGCGTTGCAGCTTCTCACCCTCGGAGTGAAGTTGCCAGCCAGGTCCGAGCACAGCTTCAACCTTCTTCATGTACCCATCAAGTTGAAGCTCGATTTGGCGCGCCCAAATGATTGCTCCGGACACAGGAGGAAGGTCGCGAAGTTGAGACATGGCATGTGCCTCGGAGTGACCGTACTGCTGCTTGAACCGCTCGTGAAGGCCGTTGATTGCCTGCTTTACATGGTCCATGAGCTGATTCTGGTATTCTTGAATCGCACCTCGAATCTTGGGTCGCACAAACAGCGCATTGAACTTAGAGAATACGCGGAACATTTCGTTTGCCGTCTTTGCTGTTCCGAGACGGTCTCGGAGCCGGGCAATGATGGAATTCTCAACACGAGTTGTTCGCTCGTTGTAGAGATTTTCAGCCAACACCCAGCGATCCTTGCCCTGTTCACTAACATCCAAGAGGTCGACATTCTGCAGCGCATCCCAAGCTTGGTTGACTTCTTCGACAGCATCGACGTCACCCATTTCTTCGATGACGATTCCGTCGGATCCCGTAGTTTCAGGGACGCCTGGGATGGTGGCCCTGGGACCAAGGACATTCACAATCGTTCGCTGCAGCTGTTCATGGTTGTCACGGAAGGTGCTCACGTATCGTATCCTCGTCTCCAACTCCGAGTGCTTATTGTTGATCTTGATGGGAATAAACTTCTCGTTTCTTCGTCGAGTGACCTCACGAGCCACGTTGGTGAATTCCTTGACTGAGTCCTCCCAGGTTTTGAAGATTTCGCCGCAGGTCTTCATGATGTGGCGGAACTGCTCGTAGTCCAGATTTACAAGCTCCGTGCCTGGCAATAGTCGGACCAACACATCGTTCAGATCCGCGGAGATGGCTTCAACAAGGGGGAGTGCCCTTCGGATCGGGTAGGGGCAAATCCTCAGCTTCTTGTTCAAATGATGAAAGATCTCTCGGATGGCATCCTGCGCCTTGAGAAGAGAAGTGGCAGATAGAAGCTCGTCCAAGGGGAAGTCGCGCATAAGCTGGTTGTACTTTTGCACCTTATCCATGGCCTCCTTCAACCCAGTGTCCGCCGTGAAGCTCACAGTGGCCTGGAAACGCTTGGCATGCTTGAGGATCTCGAGTGTCAGGAGAACACCCTCACTCCTCAATTGGCCCTCGATACCCTCCAGAGCAGACTCCATCGAAAGCCAGAAATTGACCTCCTGACTTGCCGTGTTGAACTCCTGGTTGTGATTCGACCCACTATCCTTTGTCATCCTGGTGATCCCCTGAATCGACTTGATCCAGGTGTTGACATTGGCCTGAAGCCTGTTCAGAAACGTACTATCCTGCAACAGGCCGGAAGCAATCCCATCTATCGATGGCCTCGAGTGGCTGGATTCGGCGGTATCAAGCACATTCTGGACGATCGGATGGAAGGTCAACGATATCTCGGGGATGTCGACATTTTGTTGCAGGTGAAGCAAGCTCAGCTCCAGATCGTTAAGTCGCTTCTTCGTAACTGGGATTCCCGTCTTCGAATCGACATCCGGCCGACCCCTTGATCCCGTGATGCCCTGAGATTTGGTATTGGCGTCGAAATATGGAACCAGCGCATGGTGAACCTGTGAATGGAGAACCTCCCAAGGTGAGAGGGTAGGACCCTGGTCCGCAACAGCAGCATTAAGAGATGCAGGCCCGGGAAGATTAGTAATGAATATTTGAGAAGTAAGAGGTCGACTCGGATCAATAGGCTGGGGCGTCTTCAGGAGGATGAGAGAGGCAACAGTGGTGGGAGAAGAGGCGAGCTCGGATGAAATAGTGTAGTAAAACGAAGATGGCACTGGCAAACATTAGAAAGACTGGAATGGAAGCGAACAAGGAAGGGTATTCAATCTCCCACCTGCAATGTCGGATCCATTTTCCACCACAGTGGAGGCGGCGATATCCTTTTGAATGTAGAGAACGTTTTGGGTGTCGGTAGCGAACCGAGAGCAACGGGCAACGGTGTCGGTGTAACGGCTCTTGTGCAGAAGGTTTCCCGCCTGCTCAAGCTCCTCCCGTGTGGCGCCGAGGGCGATTTGGCACACTGCTGCCAGGTGCTCGATCAGGCGCTCGGGCTCTATCGTCGGGAACTCGGTTGATGCGACGTCGTTCGACGGTGTGCCTGGCACGGTTGGGGAGGTTATCTCCATGGTCGTCGAGGCTGGGGAGCGTCGTATCGGGGGAGAGTGTAGAGATTATCGTAAACGGGCAGTCATTTCCAGAAAGTGGCCGCTCGTTCAAACTATAGGAGTAACGAGAAGCCAGGAAATTATGAAAGCGAATACAGAAAAGTGCTGATAAAGGAGTGTCGATGATCGCTTCGGGCAGAAAAGGAGAGAAAACAAAAGCTACACGTCCGCTCTGTTTCGTTCGTCGGTTGCTCTGCGATGCCTGGTTAGGATATTGTTATTAATATGAGGCGGTTTTTGGAATGGGTTAAGAAAGAAGAAGCATTGAATAATTACCTACCTCCAGATACGCGACCCCCAGATCCCTGTCGCGAATGAGTGTCAGGAGTCGTGGCTAGCTAAGGGAGCTGTGGGGACCAAGACAAACTGGGACGGCGTTTGATGATAGCCTTGGAGGTTTGGCTGTCTCTGATTGGCCCCGGCAGCTGTGTTGGAGGATGTGTCACTGGGAAGGCACCACTGTGGGTCTTGCCAGCTCAGCTAGATACGTCCAAGGTACTTCGTGTGGATGCGGACCACTAGGGACCACCTTGTATTTCCATTGTATTCACCACTCGATGCATTAATTCGTCGACGGCGAGAGCAACCTCACGCGAAGCTGCGAAAACAACATATCATCAACGTATGGAGCTACGATTGGTAGAGAAGAGAACGGCCGATGATTGGCTTCCCTTCTAACTGAATTATCTCACTTGGATTAAAAACGGTCATAATAAGAAAGGGGCTATCATGTGTGGCCTCATATATCATATTCATCTCTACTACTATCCTGACATGCAGTACATATGCACGGGATTGACCCAACAGGAAAAAGCAAGGAACCACAACATGAATGACTGACCAGCCAAGTCCATAGAAATTTAATGAAGCCACCCCCGCCTACTCCCATAGCAATTCTAACAGTCCGCATACATAATATTAGAAGCCATGAATGAGAGGAAGCAGCCATTAGAAATCGTTTTCATTGTACCGTACCCAAAACTGTCACTTGTTCTACCAAACCGTCCATGATTATCGTGCTTCGTCATATCCTCCTGTCATAATAGCTACTAGACAATATTCCCAGGTGGTCTAGGAGGCTCAAAACGCCATATACATCCAATCCACAGTTACCTTGGTCCCCCTTCCCTGCATACAGATGTTGACAGTCCCAGCATCGCGCACACAAAGACCGCTACCCATAACGCCAGATGTGCTCCGCCCTAAAGCTTTTCTTTGCTATCAAGCACTTGAATTGTTCCCAGGTGCCGGGATCCCGTCCAGAAGTCGCTCTCTTTGCACCATAACACGCTGATTGCAAATATCAATAAACATTTCAAATCGTTTGATCTGCTTGTCCTTCTCTTCAATTTCCAACTTGAGCTGGTCGATTTCTTTCTGTTTCTCTTCCTCGACCTTCTTAAGGTCTTCTCGAGCTTTGGACAGTTGCTGGCGCAGCTCTGCCCTGATCTTGTCCTCCGACGATGTCACCTGCTTCGTGTAAATGCTCGGCTGAGGTTCCGTAATCCCAGTCGAGGACTTTGAAGGGTTTCTGTTGATGGCCGCTCGTGCATTGTAGATGTCCCGGGGAATCAGGTGGCAGTCCGGGTTGTCATTCTGCAGAATGGCCAAGGTCTCTGAAACGCCAGCGCCTACAACTTGTGAGTCTGCGTTACGAGCAAACTGTAGCTGGGATTTGGGTAGGTCCTTACCACTCTCTTTGAGGTGCTTCACTGCTGTGACCATCTCGCTACTGAGCTTCCTAGCGGCTGGATGGTTTGATGGGCCCTCGCTGGGCCCGTGGTTGTGCTGCAGATGCGCTCGGTCTGGGCGATACCGGATCGTCCACTGCGTTCTCTGCTCGATAGCGAAGAACCCAAATGGGCAATCGCACTTGCGTGAGGACGTTTTCCTCTTGCGAAACTCGGGGCTGACGCGATTCGGAGGCTTGCCAGCTCGATCGCACACGAACAAAACTTTCTTCAGCCCCGGAACTGTCTTCTTTGATCTGCCAATGACAATAGCATAGCCGACCGACGTACAATATTTCAGCACCGCTTTTTGGACCGCTTCAAGCGTGGGGTAACTACCACCCTCGGGAGGGGGGGACATTAATTCTCCCAACGGTTGGCTTGGGATGTACGACGAGTCGTCCATCATCTTGCTGGAGTCAATGGCAGTTGTGTCATCATCACCGTCCTGCTGGTTGTCGACCTCCATGTTGTCGCCCGCCTGATTTTCCTGCTTCGATACAACATCTTGCTGCTGAATCGCCTGTGGGGGGGGCGGTTGCGTCAAAGTTTGTTGCTGAGGCGTGTGAGAGGCTCGTGAAGACTTGGGCTGAGCAATAGGCTGGGTTTGCATCTGCGCCTTTACCTGCTGGACCTGGGGAAGCTGCTGGGCTTGCTGAGGTGGTGGAGCCTGCTGCTGAGGCTGTGGTTGCTGAGGTGGGGGTTGCCGATGATGGTGCTGAGGTTGAGGTTGGCTCACTGATGGTGCCGAGGGTTGGTGTTGTTGTTGTTGGTGCTGCTGCTGCTGATGATGCTGCTGTTGATGCTGCTGTTGCTGCTGCTGCTGTTGTTGGTGCTGCTGCTGCTGTTGTTGTTGGTGCTGCTGCTGCTGCTGCTGCTGCTGTTGCTGCTGTTGCTGCTGCTGCAAATGTTGGTGTTGCGACGAATACTGTTGTTGCTGCTGCGGTTGATGCTGTTGAGTCATCTGATGCGGCTGCGACCGACTCTGGCTCAAGTGCTGCGAATGATGTTGTTGCTGCTGATGGCTATGGGACTGGGCTTGTTGTTGTTGCTGCTGCTGCTGTTGCTGCTGCTGTTGCTGTTGCTGTGGATGGGGCTGGTGAACTTGTTGACCTTGATGTCCCGGATGTCCCTGGTGGCTAGAAACAGTCTGATGCTGCTGGTGAGCCTGGTGAGATTGGTGGCTTTGGTGTCCCGGATGAGACTGATGCGCAGGATGAGGAAGTCCCTGGTGCTGCTGCTGCTGTTGTTGCTGCTGTTGGTGATGAGCAATCAGCGAGTCATGCTGAACCGGCTGTGGCATCGAGGTTGAGAACAGCATGGGAGAAGGGTTGGCTTGAGGTGCAGGTTGAGGCATCTGCTGCCTCGGGGGGGCTGCCCGTTGCCGTGGAACATTGATAGCATTGTGTAGATGAGAGTTGGATGATCTCGAAGTGCCATTGGGGACATTTCCATTAAGCTGGGGGGTGAAGAGATGTTGGTGATATGCCTGCGGCGGAGGTTGAGCAGTGTAGGCGTGTGGCTGGTAGGGAGATCCTGAGTGGGATGCCGGTGACTGTTTGTTCTGTTGATTCGTGTGAGGCGGAGGGAAGGCCGGATTTCGTCTGAGGTTGGCCTGGTTGAAGTTCAGACCAGCATGGGGGTTAGCCCCAGAAGGCCCCAAAGCCGACATCGCGGTGTGTTGTTCGTGCCCTGGCACCTTTCCCTCGCGCGTTGCACAGTCCGGCCGTCTTTACGGTGTGCCTTGCCACCGCTCGCCGTTGTCTTGTGTGGTAGTAGTCGTCGTCGACGTCCCGTGCGGTCCGGTGCCGAGTCGTGTCGTGTCGTGTCGTGACGGTTCGTATGGCAGCAATCAAGCCTTGTGTCTTAAGCCACTCGAGAGTCCCAGGTACGGGCTGGGGAAAAGGTCGACCTGGCTCGATCGCGTGTATGCGGGCCTGATGGCAGCGAGCCAGGATTGGAGTTGGTCGATCGGTCAGCGAGGCGACGCACTACCCAAGTATCCAACACACGATGCGAGCAGCAGAGCCGCAAGGCCTAACAGGAAGCAAACCGAACCCTCGAAATGATCAACTCGTAACCCTCGAACTGGAAGCGACACCAAACCCACCGCTTCAGGTTTGCTTAGCGGTCGGAATTCTGGGTGCTGGACGGGCAGTTTTCTGGGGGTGTCGATAACTGTGGTGGGCAAGGAGAGGCGTGGAAGTGCGTGGTTCGGCAGAGGCGTGGGCAGAAGAACCTGAGGGAGGAGCCATACCATGGAAGGACACTCAAGGGAGAGGGGGGGAATCGGATGGGGGGGTCACCTCCTCCCTGTGAGCCAGGCCCTGCTGCTCTATAAGGCCGGCCTGGCTGGTGCATGTGTGTCTGCCCGCCTGGTCAGGAAAAATACGACTGCTGATCCTCTCTGGGCGAATCAGCGCCTGTCGTCTCCGCGCCAGGCCCTAGCGACCGTCCAAAATAAACACGCTAAGTCCTTTCTGGGACTAGTCCTGCGCATCGCCTCATAATGCACTACGTACCTCCCTTGGCGCACCTGCAAAATTGCCTGTAAGAACCCGCTAAAAAGGTACTTTGAGGCCACTGTCCGCGTTCCACTGCCACTAATAAAATCGCCATCGTGTTAACGCATCCATCCATCCCGCCCGCCCCGTGCGCACTCTCCAGCTCCCTACCTCAACAACTGCCATCCTGGCCCCTTGGACCTTGCCTCTTCGATCCATGCATGCTTTTGTCTCGCACCGAGGACATGCATGCATAACTACGTATGTAGTCCTGGTGCATGTGAATAATCAAAATACCTAGGCCAGGATCTGAGGGCCAACCCCATCACTCTGCCGTACCTACCCCAGACCGCACCAAGCATCAAGAATGCATTATTAAGAAAGTTTATGGGGCCAAAAGGTAAATGCAACAAATGCGGTGTGTACTGACTCGGCCTGATTATGGAATCCTTTCATTTGTGGTCAGACAGCGTCACAAATCCCACCTGTTGGCTCCTTCGCGGGCTCGGCAGATAGTGTAATACTGCATGGTGCCAGACGACACCCTAAATGTAGAAACTTGCCCCTCACCATTCAGCACCTTCGTCCCATACAGCTTTTCTCGAGGCATTCACACATCATACAAGGAATCATGACATGATATATATAAATCCCATGTGGTGCGTAGCCACAAATTAATTGATTCATTTTCGTAGCCTATTTTCAATAAAACTGTTTTAGCTAGTTCATCCTCGTTTTATCCAAAGTCGAGGAATATGTCTGGTATTATTTCCGCTGTCCCAATAAGCGCCCTATTAAAATGGTATATTGCAAAAAGAAAAACGAAAAACCCAAAAAATTGCAATGAGTGGTCGTAAACAAAAATAATGCTGATGAATAGACGGGGCACATAAAGCTCCCGAAACCTGAAGGAAGAATTCGCAGCATATTGCTGATGAGGATTACACCTCCATCAGGTTGAAATGTCTGGTCCCAATCTTTTTCTTTTCGATGGACGTCGGCTCACTTCCTCATCTCCATCTACAAAGTGGCCCTTCTTTATCTGATGCTGCCTGAGGTTGTCTGGGCGGTTTTTATACTGGCTCGAACACCCTGGATATGGACAACGGTAGATCTTTGGTGGAGTGGTTGCATGCTGCAGCTTCTTATGCTTGGCCATGCTTCCCGGGAACCACCGAGGATCTCCCTCTGGGCGGTAGCCGCAGATTTCACAACAGCTATCGGATTCTGTCTTGGAACCGTTTGTAGAAGTATGCTCTGGGGATGGCGGTGATGTTGCTGTAGTAGAAGGTACTGGGCCAGTCGAGGGGTCGTCGGGCGTGACAGATGAATCCGAAATGTTTCCTGATTGAAAAGTAAAGAAGTCGGCATCGAAATCCGAGTCTCTTTGTAGATTATTAAAGCTGTCTAAACTTGGGGTGAGGGTTCGAATGAACTCGTCGATCGTGTCTGACTGTAACGTGGAATGGGCTGCATCGTTCGCTGGCATGTCCTTGGCTCTTGACATCCGGACAATTAACTCGATAAGTGAAACTCCCAGTTTGTGGTAGAGTAATCTCATCGAATGTTGATCCGATATGATGGCAAAATACAAGTCGACATGTGAGCGGACAGTAGGAACAAAGTGGTCAAAGTATCGAGCGGGATCAAGTGAAGCCTACACGATGCGCGATGAGTATGTACTTTATCCGAGAATTACGGAACCGAATGTTTCTCACCTTTCCAATATTCATCAGTTCCAACTCCAGCTGACGTGGAGTTGGCCAAGAGTTGGTGAGTTTTGAAGCTAGAAGTTCATTGACCTGCTCAACGAATGTCGTCGCATTTGCATATTCCTTTACAAGTGCTTGCCGTAGGTACTGGACAGCAACGTTGAATGACGGATTCTCGTGTAGGGAAAGGCTCGCCTCGCTAACGTGTTGGATACATAAGTCGGAGTGTTGGATTTCGGTACGAGACGACTCGTGAATGGCAGAATATTCAAGTTCTGTGAAGTGTTAGCAAGTAATGTCTTGTTCGGATGAGTCGTATCTATTTACCATCTAAGAAAAATCGCGCGACCAATACCAGAGAGTCATCAAGCGGGGACTCGCACACAGTAAGAGGTTCTTGCCCTTTGAGAGATTTGGTTCGCGAAGATATTGATGTTTTCCGGATGATGCCGACAACCTCCTCGTGCTTCATGTCGCTTGGTTTCCATAGTAGATCGACGATAGTAAGATAAGCTTGGCGATCCTCTCGAAGTCTCGATGCATACGATACTGCTTGTGTGAATAGCTTGGTGCCTCGGGTTGGAGCATCCTTCTCATGAATGACGAGGTAGAACGAATAAATAAGGTGAACAAAACAAAGAATATCGACAGCCGAATCAACCGGAGTTCCATCTAATATTCTCTTCAGGGTTTCAAGGCCGGCAAGCCCGACAGCGTCCGGAGACAAGCTGCAGAGTTTGTCTACGAGCGGGTTCTGTTCAACAAGGCGGATTCTTTCCATTGACTCCACAACGTGCATGCTAAGGGCCTCCCAAGTAGTAGATACAAGCGAGTTAGCACTCGTACGCGGCTTCCTTACAGCTGGAATTTCGACACGGGGTGCGGGCGTCTCGGTCTGAATAAGGTCGGGTTGTTTGAGACCCAACTCAGCGGCCAGGTCAAGCGTGGATGAGATATCAAGCGTCAACTGAGGAGTGAAAAAGCTATCCAAGCTACTGGGAAGTGACTGAGAAGCATCGGGCATATCGATCATTGGGACATCGGCGGGAAGTTCTGCGAGCAATGTTGTTGGAATAGTGGTGTCTCCTTGCCAGTCCTCATTTGTCTCACTCAGTCCGTGGGGTTTGCTGGGAATATCGAAGGGTATCTCTGGATCAAATTCATCGGAGGGCGAAGTCAGGGTCGAATCCAACCCTGAGTGTCTGGCCCAATTACCCGACCAGACAGACATTGGGGAGATGTCATAACTCCCTGTGCTGGATGTGCTGTTGGTGCTCGCAGTACTTGCGGTGGATCGGACGGACGAGCTTGGTGCAAGGTTCTTGCTTCGTCGCTTCTGGGCCCGATACTGGTGCAGCTCTGTAGCAGATGTGTACAGCTGGAGATTAGGTTTTCCGAACTCTCTACCGTGATTCTGGTTGATCAAAGCCGCTGGTGTAATTGTGGGCAGTCTTGTTGCCCCATCATGGATCAAACCTGGACCTCCGATAATCGTCGAGGCAGACTCCAGTTCGGCAGGGCGGACTGTCGAAGGAAAGTTGGGTATAGCAAACACTGGCGGGGGAGTCGGCTGAGGTTGTTGGAGCGCAATCTCCGGCGGTGGCCCCTCCGGAGGACATACGTCTTGGCCTCCATCTTCCTCCAACAGTACATTTTCCAGAATGGTGTCGAGGGGCAGTTCGTGCGAGTCGATTTCATGAATCTCGTTGGCCTGCAACTCGATTTGTGGCGATCCTGTGGGCATGTCATCCAGGGAGTCGCGATAGCTCAGGTGGCCATCCTCAAACTCCAAGCTCAGGTCCAGTAGGCTCCCGGTCCTTGACCGATGGCCCAGAGAGCTGAAGAAATTCTTGGCCATGAACATAATCTTCTTCCTCTTACTCGACGACTGACGGCAGCATTTCTTGCACTTGGGGTCTGTGAAGCGCTCGACTTTGGCACACTCGTAGCACCAGTACTCGCCGGCGACGAGCTGGTCGCACACATACAGATGCTGGAGCATCATTTCATGATCCGGGAAGCGCTTGCGACAGCGCAGCAAGGGGCACTCTCTCCTCTCCTCAGGCGTCATCCTCTGGCAGGCATTTCGCTTGACGGCCGCCCAAACCATGAACCTGTTGAAAGAGCAGTCATCCTGTGACGTCTCGCGGGACCTGACACAGGGCGCGGGGGTGAGCGAGGCAGGTCCAAAAGATTGATAAGAGGATAGAGAATATGGGGAATACATACACACAGGAGTTTTGCAACTGCTCATCGGTGTGATCGTGAGACACAATGGACGATGCTGAACTCGTTGTTGAGCTGGGGCGCCGCAGACCAAGACGCGGAGTTTGCGTCAGACGCCGTAGGGCTGAGGCTGCACCACCCGAGTCCTCCAGTGAGGACCGCCACCTGTTCTCCATTGCGTTTGTTTGTCTAACCGGGGATATATTGAATTGGTAGGTGTAGGGCTACAA